ACGTGAATACACTGCCTGAACCGCCAAGAGTCTGGGTAAATATACGGACAGGGCCACCTTTCACATGGTAGGGTCAGGGCACTGTGTTGCTCAACTCCAGAAGTTGCCTTTCATACCCCAGAATATGTGACTGGTGCCCCCTGGAGTTGTGCATGCACAACTGAAAAACCCGTTGCCGTCGAGTCGATTTCGACTCATAGCAACCGTATAGGACAGAGTAGAACTGCCCCATAGGGTTTCCAAGGCGTGGCTGGTAGACTTGAACTGCCGACCTTTTGGTTAGCAGCCGATCTCTTTATTGTCAATGAAAAATAGTATGGAGAAGCAGTAAGGTTAAGCTGTTTCTCCTGTGATATGCTCACTACTCCCTCTACACACACACACACACACACACACACTCACCTACCCACTGGCACTCACCCCTGCTCAGTAGTCTTGGTCCCAACTTGGTATGCTGGGGCTCAGTGCCCTCTCTTTTCAGCCCAAACATTCTTTGAGGCAACGTAGCTTTTTCCTCAAACTAAAAAAAAGTTTCCCTCTCACAGCTGGCTAATGTGTAGGCATGACGTTGTGGTTAGGTATGGCAGGCAGGAGAAGCAGAATGACAACTCTGAGGGAACCAAGAAAGCCCAAAGGGGAGACAAGGTTTAGAGCTAAATCAAGATTGGATTTTGTCATGAAAGGCAGAACTGACAAAAGCATCATTACAAGGCATTAACCTTGTTACACACAGACGAACAAGCAGAGGCTAGGATTCAGAAATAAATTACACATAATAAACTAGACTGAATAGGTGAGAGCAACATTAGCGATTATGCCTTAAGGGGAGAGAAGGGCGAGATAGAAAATAGGCCAAAAAAAAAAGAGTAAGAATAATATCTGGACATGGGGCCAGCCGCACTATTTCCCCATTTTTCTCCATGGCTCCCTAGGTATTAACTCCACTTTTGTTAGGATGTTTCTCTGGAGCCTGTCTTTCTTTTGTTTTCATTTGCTGAAACGAGCATAAGAAAGCAGCTCAGAGGGCTCCTTTTTTCCATTCAAGAGGACCTGTCCCTTTCTGTGTGTTTCTACACAAAACAATCCATTTCCATTCAGCTGGAGCAGGCCCTAGAGTTTTCAGGAGGTCCAAGCCTCCTTCTTCCTACTTTGTTCCAGGCCCACTTTTGTAATTGGCTATAAAATCCTGACTGTGGCCAGGGTGCTCCAGGGTGGTGAAAGGAGCAACGCTTGACCAGCTGTTGAGGAAAAGTCAGGGCCTAATGCTCAGACCAACAAGTCATGACTCATTTTTTTATACAAAGCGACTTGCGTTTAGCCGTAAGAAACAGAAAGCCCAACCAACAGTGGCTTAAACCAAGACATGTACTGTTAATAAAAAGTTTAAAGGTTGGAGCTTCTGTGGCTCAGTGGTGTTCTCAAGAACCTAGGATATTTCCATCTTTCTTCTGCACCAGTCTTAGCTGTTGATTTTCACCCTCCGGCTTGAATCTCGTGGAAGCAAAACGGCTGCTGCCACTCCCCGACTTTTGGCCTCATACACTGTATTTAAAGGTAGGAAATGAGGGAAGAGGGCAAAGGGGCTATCCTCAAGAGTCCTCTTATCAAGGAGAAAACTCATTCCCAGCAGCCCCTCCAGCCATTCCCACTTCTTACATCTCACTGAACATAACTGGGCCACACAGACACCCCTAGTTCTACCACCACCACCACCACCAGTTGCTGTCGAATCAATTCCGACTCATGGTGACCCCATGTGTGTCAGAGTAGAGCTGTGCTCCATAGGGCTTTCAATGGCTGATTCTTTGGAAGTAGATCGCCATGGCTTTCTTCTGAGGTGCCTCTGGGTTTACTCAAACCGCCAATCTTTCAGTTTAGCAGCTGAGCATATTAACTGTTGGTACCACCCAGATCTAAGGGGTGGGGAAACAAGTATCTGACAATGGGAAATGAGATTACCATTTGGCTTGGACCAATCATGGTTTCCCTCAGGCCTGAACTCATTGCCACCTGAACAAAGTTAAATTTCTTTTAGCAAAGAAAAAGGAATAAATAACTGCTATGGGTGTGGCAGCAACTGTTTGTGTTTTTAATAAGGTAATGGTAACAAACATAGATTGAGTGTCGCTAGGTGCCGGACACTGTTCTCAGCCTTACGTGTGTTCTAATTCATTCAGTCCTCATAACAGGTCCATGGGAGTGATGCTGTTATCATCACTTCCATTTCATAGAGGAGGAAACAGTCACAGCTCTCTGTGACTCAGTTACAGAGATAATAATAATGGGCGCAAGGTTACTCATCTAATAAGTGACAGAGCCAGGATTCAAACCCAGGCAGTCTGGCTCACTACCCTATACTGCCTCTATTAGGTAAGATGGTAAAATACTCCAGGTAGCACACAGTAAGCTCTCAGTACACCTTAGCTGGTATCACTACTACTACTGCTAGTACTAACATTATAGTTTTCATTTCTTCTTCATAATGACCCTACCAATCAGGCATCATTGTCCTGACCCCCACAACAGGATTAAATGGATTAAATCAATTGCCCAGGTCGCTCAGTGGGTGAGAACCCAGCTTGAATGCAAACCTAACCACGCCGACTTCTAGTTGCAGATGGTTTGTACCCTACCGCCAGCTTTTCAAGTTTGGAAATATTGACTTAATGGCTGTACTACTTACCTATGCTATTGATCTAGGACTTAATTTAGAAAACTACAGTTACTGAGGGACAGTCACAAGTCTTGGAAGGGCACAAGACAGAGTGAGGCGGTAATTTAGAACCAGTATCCTCCTTGTTCCCTTTCAGTTTTTGAGCTGCCTCTGTGTTTTAGAGCCAGTCTTGCACAAACAGGGTATCTCATCACACCTCAGCAAAGGCCACCTATGGCATCATGATTCTTGGCTAATCACAAGAGCTACAGTTATGAAGCACCTACTGTATATCAGACCTGTAAACCCTGGTGGCATAGTCGTTAAGAGCTATGGCTGCTAACCAAAAGGTTGGCAGTTCGAATCCACCAGGCGCTCCTTGGAAGCTCTATGGGGCAGTTCTACTCTATTCTATAAGGTCACTATGAGTCGGAATCCATTTGACGGCAATGGGTTTTTTACAGTATATCAAACTTGGGAGTACACTGTCCCGTTTGGTCCTTGTGGATGATCCACAGTCCATGGACATTACTCTTACTGTGTCATGGGATGAGCGGAGAATGGAGTCCTCCAACCAAAGATGGTGGCTCTAGAACATTTCTGTTGCCCAGACAGAGATTATGCCCAATTCTCCAAGTTGGCCTCTCTGGCATGTTCAAATATTTAATAAAAATGATGAGCATGGTCAGCCAATCTTAAGTCTGAACAATCCTAGTTTTATTTTAAAGCAAAATGTGTGGTGTGGTTTTATTTATTTATTTATTTCAGTCTAAAGGTCACCCGATTTTTCTTTTTCTGCTCATAGTCATGAGGCTCCCTTATCTGAACAGTGATCTATTGTTCCAATCCCTATACCCACGGAGATTTTTTTCTTTAACTTCAATTTTAACAGGACAGCTCCTCATCTTCCTCATCTGCATGAAAAGTATCTTTTAACAGGGGAAAAAAATATCTCTAATGGGCTTTCCAAAACTCTTCTTAAACTGAGTTTGCTATAGAATATTTTATGCAAATAAGTCACTTTCTTTTAGGTTATGACATCTTTTCCTTGAAAAGTGATCATGGCATTGGAGCAATCCTTGCTAGCTTATCTTTTCCTCACAGTGCAACTTCCACAAAGAAATATAGACGGCACTTTAAAGCTTCAGAAATCAATTTAGTCCATGAATTCATTTAGTTTAGATGTTAATGAAACTTGGTGGGTTTAAAAATAATGAATATTTAATAAGACATAAATTGAAAGATATAAACACTGTTGGCGATAATGTAATGAAGTTAGTAAGTCTTAGTCTTCCTCCCACCCACCTCCCCTCTCCAAAAACAAGGCGATTTTAGGAGTTGCTTACTGAACTTCACCGGCTCTCCCATTGGCTAAAACTTAAATGTGTCTTTGAAAACCTTGATACAGTTGGGAACTGAGCTCTGGCTGATAAAGTATGCTATCACAATGTGCTCAGTAGCTACAGATGGCAACCGTTCTTTCTAGCTCCATATCTTTCAGAGATTTGTGTTACAAACTCAGTTTCCTGTCGTTGAAGGCAGGAAGCAGCATGAAACACTTCATTCCTTTAAACAAGGAAGAAAAAGACATTTTGGTCGACACTCTCTCTGCTCTGGGTTTAAAGGGGGGCTTTATTTAATGATCAGGAACAAACGTATGATTATATGTACTCAAAGACTCAGACAATTTAAATGCCTTCAGGTTGAGAGTTACGCTTTTCATTTCCTCTTCAAGAGCGTCTGCATCAGGTTCAGACCTTCTGGTTGGTTCCTTTTTAGCTCTGTGGCTCTGTCTTACCCACCATCCATGATCATATTTTCCCCTCTGAATATAATTACCCCGTCTTTGGGCTTCATGTTGGACCCCTCTTGTCAAACCAGAGTCCCTCCGCTGTCATCACACCCAATAGGATTGTCTGTCACATCTTGGGAAATGACTTGTGTTTAACCTCACAGAAGCCAAAACGTAGCTAAAATGAATTGCAGCAGGAACCTGCAGACAGCCAAGATCAAGATTGTCTCCCTCCCAATTGAGCAGTAGACTCTCTCCTGGCAATAAAGTGGAAATTGGCTTCATATATTAGCTGTGGGAGTGTTAAATGGATGGCTAGCTCACCACTGGCAATCAATACATGTTAATACATAATAAACAAATGGCTTTCCATGGGTTGGACAACCATGGTGATTTTGCAGATAGCGGCTCTCGAGGATCTTGTCTAAGAAAATGAATTTGGTGCCCAGAAGTGGGATCCACCTAGAAGATGAGTGACATTTTATCATTATAATGAGAATTATCACTGTTAAAAATTATCTCTCTTTTTTTTTGTGCGTTTGTGTGCATGTTCAGAAAAAAGAGAATCAACCTGAAAGAGTACAACCGATTGCATCATCTACCTTGATCCATTCCGACCTGACATCCGTTTATGGCACCGTGGTCATGAACAGGACTGTTTTATTCTTGGGGACTGGAGATGGCCAGTTACTTAAGGTTGGTTTTCTGTGCCTTCTTCGACATCTATTTTAATAATGATCCTTTTTTTTTTTCTCTTTGTTTATTGCTTCTGGGTTATACACAAGACTATAGCATTTGCATTGTGAATTCCTCTGAGGCCTCCAGAAATGGCCTGAAAGAAATTCTGGAAATCTATATATAATAACCACTCTAGCCATGTAATGAAGCACCAGCCACTTTGCTTCCCAAGAGAGTGCCAAGATATTTACCCTTCCTTACTCATACGCTCCCTGGGTGAAGTAAATGGGGGTCTGGTCCCTGCCCCATCCCTGACTCACCTTCCTAAGACATTTAACCTTTCAATTCTATCTCCTTTATAATGGAATGTGCAAAGCACCTGATTTCTCATAACTTCAAAGAGATGAGAGATTATAGGGCTTGAAACGAAGAAAAAACAGGTGTTCCTTCCCTCCAGCCCACTTGCCACCCACAGAAGGGGTTTGTTTTCTGCTCTTTGTACCCACACACACCACGGAGAGGTTAGAGATCTGAAACCGTTTCAGACTCCACTTGACTTTTATCTCTGAGGACTGTTTTTTTCCCACTGTATGATAGGCTCTTATCAAGTTGAGATTTTTATTCCTTGACAGGAGAAGGGGAAGAAAATGAAATCAGAGATACCAAACGACTTGTCCAGAATTATGTAGTGGTCGTCGTATCGTTTACCAACAATCATGAAGATGACACAGGACTGGGGGACATTTTGTCCTGTCATATATAAGGTTGCCATGAGTCAGATGTGACTTGATGGCAGCTAACAGCAGTATTTTATCATTGTCATCATCAGCATGCATCTGTTGTGGCCTTCACGAGCATTCATGGTTGGGAACAACACAAATTCTATCTTGCTAGACTGATAACCCCTTTGTCTCTATGTAGCCAGTCAATTTACTATCAGCTCAGATTCTTAACTCAATACTGACAGATTTGTTTCTAAACTGATCTGCCACCGATAAATAGCTATGTGACTTTAGGTGTATCACTTAACCTCTCTGGGTCTCCATTTCCTCAACCATAAAATGAGATTGTACGAGACAGCCTAGAAAGCCTCTTTCTACTCTGATGGTCTGTAGTTTGGTCTTCTATACACAAATCCCCCATCCTAGCCAAGCCTATTTACTTGCTGTTCTCCAAATGTGCATTGTGTGGCCCTGCTTCTACATCTTTGCCCTTACTGTACCCCCTGCCTTCAATGCTTACTTTCTCTCTCTGCTTTACTGACTCATCCCTTAACTATCCACTGCTCATCTGTCAGTTTGTTGTACTGTGGTGGCTTGTGTGTTACTGTGATGCTGGAAGCTATGCCACCGGTATTTCAAATATCAGCAGGGTCACCTGTAGTGGACAAGTTTCAGTGGGGTTTCCAGATTAAAACAGGCTAAGAAGAAAGGCCTGGTGATCTACTACCAAAAATTAACCAGGGAAGACTTCATGGATCACAACAGAATATTGTCCGAGATGGTTGGAAGGCACTCAGAATACACAGTGGGTGCAACAACAGACTCAAGCATGCCAACAATCTTGAAGATGATGCAGGTCTGGGCAATGTTTTGTTCTGTTGTGTACGTGGGTCGTCATGAGTCAGAACCCACTCGACAGCCACTAACAACAACAATCTGTCTATGCTTTGATTCTGCTCAGCTGTCACCTCTTCTGTGAGGGCTTCTAACCCTTAAGTGATCTTGTTTTCCCCTCCTCTCCTACAGTACTCATTATCTGTATCATTCTTTTGGCTCATTACAAATGCTTGCTTTGGTGCCTACCCCCTCACTTGCATTTGCCTTTTCCTTCCCAATTGGATTTTAAGCGTCTTGAGAAAAGGCCATGAATTCCCACAGCCTGATATGGTGCTGAGTGCCTGGTAGGCATTTGATTTAATCTGTTGTCTTTGGAGGAAACCCAGTAACATATGGGAGGGAGTTTGTTTGTATACACCTTCTTTTAAAATATACATCGATCATCTTTCCTGTTGCGTTAGCTTTATTTCCTGAGGAAAGGTAAATACCCATCAGTCGTTCTATACAAGTCACTCAGTACCACAAGGAAACACCTGTAGCTTCACCAACCTGGTCAGGCTGATCGAACCCATGGACCTGGCAGAAGTCTTCATCAATCCTAAGTGGGCCTCCTCACCAATTATCTTTTCAGATTTGGGATATGTTTGACAAGTGTTTTGACAAGCACAGTTTCCCCAAAGCCAAGCCAACCAAACTGTTACATGGTGAGTTGGAGGTGAAAGAACACTCAGCTATATATAGACCCCGTGGGAAGGCCTGGTTTCGCCTGTCCTGTTTGTTCACCCCAGCAGTTTGCGTGCAGCTGGCCAGTGTTTAGTGATGTTGTGGCACAAGAGGAGCAGGGATGAGCTGCAACTTTATACTACAGAGGAGGAGGGGGCTGACTGCGGTTTCACTTTCCTCAGGATCTGTATGGGCTACGCCTTCAAAGGCCACAGCAAATAACAAGGGCGGGTTGTTTGGTTTGTTGTTGTTTGTCACGGCTAACATGTACAGAGTGCTCCCTCTACTCCAGGCACTCTGCGTGTTCTAATCTTCTTTGAGTCCTCCCCGTAACCCCTTGTGGTGGCTACTGTTAGCTGCCATTGAGTTGCCCCTGACTCGTGGTGACCGCATGCACAATGAAACAAAATGCCATCCAGTCCTCTGCTTTCCCCATGGTGGTTGAGGTTTGGACTGCTGTGATCGATAGGGTTTTCACTGGCTGATTTTCAAAAGTAGATTGCCAGGCCTTTCTTCCTGTTTGTCTTAGTCTGGAAGCTCCACTAAAACCTGTTCAGTGTTCTAGCAACAGACAAGCTTCCACCGACAGAGGAGTGGTGGCTGTGCATGAGGTTCATTGGCTGGGAGTCGCACCTGGGCCTCTCGTATGGAAGGTGAGAGTTCTACCACTGAACCACTAAAGTCCTCAAGGTAGGTATACTACTCACATTTTACAGATGAGGAAACTGAGGCCCAGAGAAGTTGCATAACTTGCCCAGGGTCGCACAATGGCAGAGCAGGGATGTGAACCTGGAGCAACTCCACAGACTGCACTATTAACCCTTATGCTACACTGCCTTTGTAATCTCTGCCCCAGGCACAATCTCTCCAGGGGAGGCATGCTGATAGGGGTCTGTGGTGAGAAGCTGATCCTCCTGGGGTGGGTTAAGGATCCTAGAGGCTCAAGTGAGAATCCCAGCTCTAGAGGGAGAAAGTTGACTGTCTGCCTGAGGGAATACCACCGGCATGGTAAATTCTTGGGAATTAATTCCCCCCTCAGAGATTCCCTCAGGAAAATTCCCTTCTGCAGGAGGAGGTTGTGAGGGACGAATCTGAGCTGAGTTGGCCCTACCAGTCTCCCAAGAACAGCCCATAATTCCCGAGACTCCCTCATTTATCCTGTGTGCAGATTCTTGGATGCAGCCCTGAAATTACCCAGCGTACTGAAGCCCCTGGATTGTACAGATGATTTGGAAGCCACAGATAATCCCCAAATCCTTTTATTCAAAAGCTTCAAGCTTCTCTCATGCCAGCTTGTCACCAGAACTGTTAGAAAAGACGAGCATTGATAGATATAAGTCTGGCTTCTTAAGCTGCAGAGTGGAGGGAGGTACTAATGAACCGCACAAAACAAAACCAAACCCAACGTAGACGCTGGGAAGAAGAGAAGAAAGAGGGCTTGGATCTCCCGCAGCCTGACTCATCAGTTTCTGAGTGATCAAGAGTTGACGGCATTTTGACATATGGCAGGCACTATAATATACGCCTGGTTTGATGAGAGACAGGTAGCAGTGTTTGGGGGCCAATTGCTGTTTTTTACCGCAACAGTAACAAAAAAATTGACGTCTCAAATCTCTGAAAGCCTCATGGAGTTTTCATATAATTTGGTGCAACTTTTTATCATGTTATCAAATATTTTCTTTCTTGTTGTAAAAGTAATATGTGCTCACACAGAGAGTTGTAAACTAGCAGGGGTGGGGAGGCAAAGAAAAAAAATACCCCTAACTCCATCATGTAGAGGCAACCTCTGTCTACATTTTGGTGTCTTTTTATTTTATTTTTTACATAATTGAGGTCAGACTCTATGTAGAATTTTGCATCCTTCCATTAACAAGAGGGAATGCTTATAGTAAAATGTTTTTGCAAATTCTTTGTAAACGGCATTTTTAATCACTGCTGTAAAGAGCCCTGATTGCGCAGTGGTTAAACCAATCAACTGCTGACCGAAAGGTTGGCAGTTCAAAACCGCCAACAGTTCTGCAAGAGAAAGATGTGGCAGTCTGCTACCGTAGAGATTTACAGCCTTGGAAACCCTAGCGGGTCATTATGAGTTGGAACTAACTCAACAGTAGTGGAGTTGAGTTTGGTTTTTTGGTTTTTGTTGTTAGTTGCTATCGATTCGATTCTGACTCATGGTGACCCCATGTGTGCAGAGTAGAAATGCTCCATAGGGTTTTCAAGGCTGTGATCTTTCTGAAGCAGATTGTCAGGCCTGACTTCTGAGACATCTCTGGCTACTACCTGTGGAAACATTATATTTTGAATTTAAGCTGAGATATTGAATCACTTTTAACGTGTCATTAAAGACATGCATGTCTTCCAAGTAAGAAGACATTACCTCCAAAGGTAAGTTTTTAATGATGATCAGTGAGAACACTAAAGACTTGATAGTATGTTAATACCTTAAGTGCCCTTCTTCTCCTGCCTCTACTCCTAAGTCCCTTTATAAGGTTTTAGAAAAATTGAAGGAATTTAGAGCTGAGTGGGCCCTTTGAGAGCACCTAATCTGCCTCCTTATTTCATCCATGTGTGCGGTTCTAATGGCCATCAAACAAGTTATGTCTACTTATTCCCCAGTTATTTCCCCATTTAACTTCCTTTCTGAACATGATTTCGTGCAATAATTTTTCAGTTGTCAGCGTCTCCACTGAGATCAGCTGAAAAAATACGGTCACTCTGAACTCAGCGTTTGGGAAC